ATAGTAGGATCCTTATTGCAAGGACCCCAAAATAAGGTACCCCGCTGTTTTGGGAAACTCCCACATCGCATCTCAGCCTCAAGCCACACGAAGCCAAGTGAGGCAAGGCTTTCTCAAGGTACTCGTAGCCCGAACGGTTGTTGAATTAAACCTTCTGGCCCTGAACTCGTCGACCAGGGCAAAACAGCTACTTAGTTCTTCTACAGGAGCAAGGGGGGACGTAAAAAAAAACCTGTGAAGAGACATGTGGATGATGTTGATGGCACATAGCCGGCACATGCAAGTGAAGCCGTCGTCGTACCGCAGTCGCAGTAGTAGCGTGCCATTGTTTAGAAATGGTTAGAATGGCTAGAAGAGTCGGCTTCTTGCAGACAGACTGAAAGTCTGAAAATATCCTACTTCCTGCGATTACTTGCAAACCCACATATCCGAAACGCATCAAAAACCATATTCAACCCTGAAACACTCAAGCAGTGTCTAAGTCTACCGCGAAGCCTGAACGTCTGATCGGGTAGGCCCCTGAGCTAAATCTCAACCTTTAAATCTAAACGGCACAGTGTCCCCGGAGTGTCCCCCCATCTAGCTGCTGCACAGGACCCGATTGACGCTTAAAGTCGGCCGCCCGAGCCAGATAGGTACCACCAGTCCTGGAATCTGCCTGCTTGTGTGGGGTTTCGGGTATGCACTCGGGACTTCGAACTTTGATGTCGTAGCAACTTCTGACAAAACAAAGCAACAACATTAATGTCGGGTTGTGTCAATGCGAGACCGCAGCTTTTCTGGAGCGGGCCTCGCAAAGTACTTGCTGTAGCTTCAAGTGCACGCACCCTTATGGGCTTCAAAATGCATGTGCAGGCGTGGAGTTTAATCCTTCATTTGTTCTTCTTCGTCGGAGTCAAGCCCATCTGGATTTCACGGCCTCTGTCTGCACCTCTACACCCACGGCCAGGACGATGTCATCCCCCGCGCAGATCGCACCTTGGTATGCTCACGGACTGCTTGGATCCTCCGGATCATCTCGCGCATAAATGGGAGAGTCGAGACGTTCTTCCGGGACGGTTTCGTCTTCACTGGAAACAGCGATTCCTATATTACCACGGGGCCGTGTCGGCCATGGCCGCAATTGACTCACAAAAAGCAGCTTCCGCCCGACTGGAAGAGGTTGCATGAGCTGTGACATGAAACCTGCTGCACTGCTGGACGCTGCACCGGCATCTATGCTGGCATAAGCCCGCCGAAACATCTGTTTGTGAGATCCATGCCGATGAACAATGGAGGTCTCTACCTCGATTGGAGAATGCCGAGCGTGAAGACATGCGCCCTGAGCGTGCAAGTCCTCTCACATCTTCCGATGCTGCCGCAGAACCCGAGAACCCCCTGCCCAAAACAGAAATCCACGCCACTATACGCCACTGGGAAGTACAAACTCGCATGCTGGCAGCAGCACGTACAGCTTCGGCACAGGCCAGGCCTGAACATCACCGTGGAGGTCAATATGAACTCTATCTTCTGAGCGATGGGGCATCATCAGTACTACCGCGTGGAAGAACAACGAGCCTTTCTATAGACATTGCAAGCTCAGCAGAAAGCAGTGAATTTCAAGGCAAGTGTCTGCGATAGTCCTGAGTCAACCCCTTCTTGCCTTTGTATCTTGGCACTGGGGGCTTAATGTCTGATCGACGTACAACCACCCGGCCTCCAGAGGCACAAGCAGCCTGCCAAAGCAAAGCAAAGGTCAATATACTATAAAATACTGTAAGACACTACAAGAATGTACGCGAGTTATACTACAAGTATACATGTAGCATAAGTATACTATGGCTCTTAAGGCCGTGGATGTGTCTTGGAGCTCGCAGCATGTGTAGTTTCTGCCACTCAACGTGCAGATGGTTCTACGTTTGCAAAGAAAACGGATGAATTGGAGCCCGAAGGGGCGTTTGACATGGAGCGATCTTGCGGTCGTCACGATGGGGCCTGTAACATGGCCCCAGGGTTTTCCATCTTGTTCCTTCACAGCCAGCTCGTCTTCCCGGGCCTCCCTGCACCGGAGACTGAATAACTACGAATGAGCAAGGTCACCCAATAAATTTACATGCTGCGCTTTGTGCCTCTAGGTCGGTTAATTTACCAGCTTAGAGATTTGGGCGTCCCGCACACAAGCACATCATCTCACGCCTCCCTTTCGTTCCCGCTGCTTCCCCTCCTACTCATCCTGCTCAGAGGTATCATCATCCTCATCGTCATGTTTACTGTGTCTCGCACAGTCACCGTGAGCATCGTAGTCGCGATAACCGTATCAGACAAAGGTTAGCGGCTCACCATAACAACGTGGAAGAATCTGCCGGTGAAGCATATGTACAGTATGTATGTATGTATGTATGTATGTATGTATGTGTACACGCTGAGCAGGCAGTTCTATTTTGTGTCGCAACTACAGTACGAAATACCTGGCAGCAGCTGCATCTGATCAACAAAACACAGCCGGTCATACTCATGACCACAAGGCCAGGCAAGCTAACGGAGGAGAAGCAAGCAGCGTGTCGTTTGCAAGGTGCACGTCAAGCTCGAGGCAAAGCGAACTGCTTCTCGGCCGGACCATCCCCCATCCGATCTCCGCTTCATCGTCTTTCATTGTCGTCACCGACTCTAGGATATCGAGGTGCTATATCATCACGTGCATGTCGTCATGGTAAAGCGGAAAGAAACAGCATTTCTTCTTCTTATTCTGCTTATCATGCTCCTACCTTAGCAACATCATCTCATTTCCATGCTCGGCTCTCTGCTCCCCTCGCTGCCGTGGGGGCCTCTACTCGCATGGAGGGCCGGTGCAGCAGTGCCGGGTGTGCCGCCGCAACAGCGGCGCCCAGGTGACCCTGGCTGTTGAAGAGCTCACCTGTAAGTCAGGGCGTAGCGGCTTAGCACGTGTAGCCTGTTGCACTCTTGCACTCCAGCTGTCCTTTCGAGCGGCTTGCCATCCCCCATAGCGCACATGCGTAGACCCTGAGACCCGAAGCCGCGCCTGGCCTGCAAAATTTCCAACCTTGGTTTGGGTTTCAAGTAGTGGGAGTCGTATGCATGTTGTGTGCTTGGAGCAAGGGGGCACCTCTGTCGATTGATCAACATGCGCTGGAGGCTTAAGGCTTACAGCCCAAACTCCTAGACCGAGAAGGCTGAGGGCAGCGATTCTGGATGCAGCTGTGCCCCTTCCTGTGTTGGTCTCCGGGTCTCGAAAGCCGGGAGGCCGCGACGCCTACTGAGGCTCAGGCATAAATTCGGTCGATCGCTTCGGGCTTGGCACCAGTTTCCCGGAATGCGCCCTGGATGGACTCAGCAAAATACCTTGGATGGGATTTAGCATGCAAAAAGGCGAGGACTCATTCTTCACTTCTTTACTGTGCTTTCTGAAGCCTCAGGCTGACTAGTGACTAGCGGTGGTGGTGGTTCGATAGCTGGTTCCTCGACCGCTTCTCTAAAACGCGAAACGAACTCGCGGCTTCGGCGGCGGGGCCTCTCCAGCCCGGTGGGGGTGCGACCACTGAATAAAGCCAAGGTGCTCTTTAAGGCCTTTGAGACCTTTCTGGAAATTCGGGCTTCCTGGCGAGGTGAGAGGCGGGTGTCGGACCTTTGGACCTCTTTGCTGGCTTTTCACCACAGCGAAAACCTCGGTAGCAGCTTCAAGCTCCCCAATCCGGGGTACGAGCCTTGCCCTGAAACCAACAGGGTGTACTCAGGATCCGTTGAACCAGGCAGGCATGTGCGGGCAGGTGCCTTTTCCCACGAAGGGTGTCACATGACCACCAGCCAAAAACCTGTGACGATGGAGACTTCAACCGAAGCTGGCAAGTCTGCTTGGAGTGAGGGCTGAATCGGCCGCGTAATGGACGAGTAAAGCACAAGACATGCCCAGCGTCTGCAGCAGTGAACACAAAGCAACTCTGATTCGAGTCCCTGTAACACTTCCGAGACAGAAAGCTTGGAACAACAAAACACGCGCACACACACACACATGCTCTTCCGTGATGTGGGCTTGGAAGGCCTGACCCGAAAGCCTACATCGACCAAAGCATCCGGGGCACACTTTCCGGAGCATTGCTGCCAGCCTGCGATCGTGAAAGCAACTGCTCATCTGCCAATATGAAGGACAGGAGCCGGGTGCTGGGAGATGAGCAAGGTTGCCTGATGTTCCAAATGCATCCACAGTTCGTGGCTCAACTAAACATGACGCGCAGCAAGCAGCTCATCCATGCTCCAGCGTTGGATGTTGTCTGAAAGCTTCACCAGTCGTCGCAAGTGCAGACAGGGAGCCCACTTGTGAGGAGGGGTTGAAATCCGCTGCAGCAAAGCAGCTGTGTCTTGAGCACAGGACGAATCAGCAGGCGGTTGCACGGTTGGGGGGGGGGGGGCGGCAGTATGTCGAGCGGTTCGGACTTCAGAGATATCTTGCTGCGCCTGAACCGAAGAAACATTTTTCAGAAGTGCCACGCTTCTTCACAAATTCAGCCGAGTACGAGGATCATGTGGAAGGAATTCGCTCCCCGAGACTGATGCCGCTTCTGGCATGCCGACGGTGACGAACTAGTCAATAAGGTGAAACAGGCAGGGCTCAAACAGGCCATTCCAGCAGCTCGTGTTACATCTTCGCAGCTTACACCGGCAAGCAGGGAATACTGTCTGGAAAACCACAAACAGAAACCTGGTCCTTGCTACTGTTACATCTGATATGCATTCGCAAGTGCCTAATAACCCCTTTCGCACCTTTCACCAGGGGAAACCCCCGTTTGTCGTTAAACAGCAACCAGCTTTACCCCTCGGCACAGTAGTCTCTGAAGTTGCTGGAGTTAGGGACTGGGTTGAGCCAGGCCTTTTGTGGCGCGATCTGCTTCGATGCTGCCCAGGTATAAACAATGCCTAAATCCCCCAGCTCCATTAGAAAGACCTGCGCGCATGCTGGCAGTCTTGCCTACAATTACAAAAAATGCATGCAAACAACGGAGAGCTTTGTGGAATTTAGGTGCGTGCGTGCTGTGGCTTTGACTTCTGTGCGATCAAAGCCACGCACCGCGGACGATTGGCTTGGCCAAGCTCAATTAAAATAGCACGGCTTGAGTTGGAAGGCAAACTGCAGGTTACCTGATGTGATTTCTTTAGCCCTTGAACTCAAAGGAGTCATATGCTTCTCCACAATATTGCTCACACCAACTCGCAGAGTGGCAAAGACGATGGGAGCCAAACGCACTCTTGAGTGGGCATGTGCCGTCGTCCTACACGCATGCTCTCCCGAAATGCTGGGGCATAGCTAGTTTCCATCGTCGTCTGCCCTCTGCCTAGGCAGGTCATGCGTGAATTGATCATGCCTTGCACTGACAGCAGTAGCATTGCACTGAGCACGCGAGCTGTTGCCCTCTTCGGTCCAAACCAAGCCCAGGCTCCAGGTCGAGGTCGCATTCTAGAAATCCTTGCGCTTACCGTCGGTCACGAGCGAACTTTATATCCATTCGAATGGAGCTGCGAGGGGGCAAAGTCTGCAAAGTGCCACGCACTACTGTGCTGAAGGCCAAGCTACAGAAAGCTAACTAGCAAAGGAAAGGCCAGCCAAACCTCCCTGAAACCAAACGAACCACATCAAGTTCATCCAGGCCAAGTCCGATACCAGTCGGAAGCGTTGAAATCAGATAACATGGCATCGGAAAGATGATCCGATTGAAACAGTTCAGTCAGTACTGAGGACAGTTGGGTTCTGCCATGATCTGCAGCAGCGCAAAGCCCTATTGAGTTAGCTCTTGCAGGGTCAGAGCCGCGTTTCCGCCGGAAGTTTTGTTCGTTGCTTCTCCTACTAGGCCGCCTGCAGGCACTGCAAAAAAATCCTGAAGGCCGGCATCCCATAAAACCTCACACGACCATTAATTGGCTTGTAATCGCACATCTTTCCGAGATCCGGAGGTCTCCGGACAAAAAAGGCCACGAATTCGACAGTCCAGCAGGCATCTACGCAAAGCCAGGGATACTGCGGCTCGCGATGTCGTGATGAGCCGGAAATCCGATCCCTCATGCCCGTTCGATGCCCGTTCAGGCCTGCCGCAGCATCCCTGCGATGCACCTCACCAGCCGTAAGTTGGCTCGCTCTCTGCAGTCCTCAGATTGGCAGAATCTAAACATATCAGAAGCTACACACTACTCGATTTCCGTCGTCGAGCCTTGCTAGTCTGTATTGCTTTAGCTTTGTGCATCCTCCGCTTAGAGCTCGAGCAACCCTGGCATTACTTGTCATAACGGCAAGGGTTCGTGCTTGCACTTCAACCTAGTGACCTAGTGTCCGAAAGACAACAGGCAAAGTGACATCAACAAGCCACGTGCCCTGAAATTGCTGTCGCTGACAGCCTGTCCGCCTTCGTGGCTGCCCTCTCGTTCTCCTTTGGTCCCTGCCCTTTGTTTTCGAACCCGCTTCAAAATCTCCTGACAGTTGACAGCCAGCCCTCTCTGGACTTGAAGAAGCCTTAGCTCGCGGCGTAAAGCTTCGGTTCATGGCTGCTCGCCGGATCTTCTGTCGTCGCTTCTTCTCCTCAGGTTTCTGCGGGTTGCCGTGCTGGCAACGGCACCATCAGCAGCAAAGGCTAGCCCACACCACGGCTACACTGTCGCCTCCTCTGTCATCCCACTACGACCGGCTGAGGAAGAACAGCAAGAGTGCTAAGGTTGTCTCAAGGTTGATTGAGTTTTTCGAGGGCTGGAGATTGTGTCTCCACTGCTGGGTGGAGTAGCATCAGGCACGCAGACAAAACCTCCAAGGGCCAATGTGCCCTTTCACAGACCCTCTACCCAGCGGCGAGCCATCTAAGCTCTGCAAGCAACCTTTGTAACCGAACACAAAGCCATCAACACCTTGTGCAATCAGCTCCATCCTGCCCAATCTCTTGTCTTGCTTGCCTCATCCCCGCAACGCCGCAGCAGCAGCAAGAACAATAACACGAACAACACCAAGAACTAAGAACAATCACAAGCACAATATCAAGAACAAAAGGAAGAACCACCAACATCGCCGCCGCTGCCACCACCAGAACAACCACAAATAACCACAACCAAAACACCAACGACGACGACGACGACAACCACCACAACCACAACCCACGCTGGACCTCGGTTCCACCATCGCGGACATCCAAACCATCGGCTGTCCTGCCTTTAACTTTAACAGTAACATATCAGCTCCACGTTTTGTGCCACTGCCGCACCTCCTTGACCAGCAACAGCAGCAGCAACCGAGGACGACAATGACGATTGACACAACAACACCTAACAAAGCAGCGGTAACCAAGAACCAGCAACAACAACCATAACAACAATCACAGGAGTAACAGTATTAACTCGACAGTGGTAGTCAGCCTGCCGCACGTACCATGCACAGTGCATGGCAGCAGCAGCAGCAGCAGCAGCAGCGTGATATTGGCTGCTGATGCCTGCTTTTTCTTAGATTGGATGTCTTCTCTTCGTCACATACTGTTCTTGCATTCATGAACTGTCAACAATTCGCGTTGATGCCTTTTTCCAAACCGGCGGTTGCTATTGACTGGTCCTTTGAAGATCCCACATGCAACTGCTGCTATTTCTGTTGGGCTTTGTTGGCTGCCGTTGCTGGCTCTGGTTGCTGTGTAGCATATGAATACAAAGCCGTCGACGAACTATTTCAGGAGACCTGGGAACGTGTCAGCCGGCATTGCCACTGGGAGCAAGCAGCTTCTGCATGGTCACTTGCAGCAAAACTCTCAGCAAAGCCTCGAACAGCGAGACCCATGTTTGCAACCAAGCTTCCCCTGGCGGGCAGATGTGGCAGAAGGCGCAGCTGCTCCCACTCCGGCCTGAATGATAGATATGCTGATATGACAGGCTCTTATTCAGCGCCTGTCAAAACTCGCAGTCTCCAAAGTCTCAAGCTGGCAGAACAACCAAGTGGTCTTTGCCGGGTGAAGCACAGGCTGGAAATGAGGCTGGCCGCTGACATCAGACTTGAATACTCCAGAACTGCTAGGCTACCCTGTTTGTGCGCGCCAGGTGGCATCCTTTGGTGTGGAAGAACGCGCAGGGCTTGCAGTCTTCATGGTGCGCAGCTTGAACTCCAGTCTTCTCATGCAGGTAGCTGGAGAGTGCAAGGCGCAGGCAAGGTTCCTCACGCGGTGGAGGAGTTGCAAAGGCCTCCTGTGACAGGATCTCCGGCGCTGGGGCTGAAGGTGGCGGCGGAACCGCCCGCCACAACCGTGGCTGCGTGGTTGGGGGTGGTGGGGTTCTCGGCAGCTCGGCAACCTGTGGCCGATAAGCCGGTGGGCTGAGGAAGAAAGGTTCAAGACACGGGCGAGCTTCGGCTTCTGAGAGGACTGGGGAGCCCAGGTGCTCCAGTCCAGGGGGTGGGCTGATTCGACTGGGATTCAAAGGCCGAGTGGCGAGCATGTCGTCGCCTGCTATACTGACCAAGGACTCCGAAGAGCCGGGCGAACTCTCATCCGGGTAGCTGTGGCGCGTGGCAGGCACAGTGTGCGGATACCTTGGGGGTCGGTGAGTGATGTTGAAGATAAGCAGAGTTGAACGCATCTCTGATCCTAGTTCAGGCGTCTTTGCAGCTTTGTCCCCAAACTTTCTGCAAGTTCTTGATCCTGCAGCCCATTCAGCATCCCGAACAACCCGAAAAACAAGCCCAGATTCAACTTCCCAAGGACCAAGATGCCCCCTTTTACGTCGCAGCGCCAAGGCACGGCGCGAAGAATGCCGTTGGAACAGGTGGAGAGCTGCTGCCTGCCCTGAACATCATCGGTGGCATGCAGCCCCACCTAAGGCCTCAGACCCAGTCTACCTACCGTGAGTATATCCACCAGGACCAATCGTGATCCACTTGATGTTCAATCAAACATGAGGCTTAAATGGTCTCAGAACACTGTGAAGCATCAATCGTGCACTGGGGTTCGCGGAATTACGATTTGCGCGAAGCCCATTTAGCTTAATGACCGGGTGTCAGGTCCGGGATAGAATGGACATTGAATCACCAGAAAACACTCATTTGGTTTTGAACAGGTCTTGAGTCACCAATCCAAGGCCAGTCAACGGAGCTGGGCTCTGTACTGTAACTGAGGTTGGACAGCAGCTTCAACAAGACCAAGGATGCTTTCTGGTACTGCCTACATACCTATGTTTTTATCTGCTTAGCGAGGTTGTAAGACTACTATAGACTTGCACATTTACTTCATTCGTCCTCTCCGGGTACAGGGCCAGGGCCTGTCTGTGCACACAAGGGTGTGGACCCGCTTCAGTCAGTCGCTCGGTGGAACTGTTCGTTGGTCAGGCTTGTGCCATCACGTAATGCCGAAGCTTGAAACCTGGCTTCACGCCAACATGACAGACACTGACTGACGAAATCAAGGCAAACACGGCCACAAAGCGGTGTCTTCCCTCCAGTGGCAACTCCTCCGCGTGCGTAAGGTTGGAAGCCAACACCGACACAACACGTGCCAACAGCAGCAACAGAAACACACAGCACAAATTGAAGGTCATGCATATACCGGGAACATAGAACAACATGTCGGCTATGACATTATCAGCTTAATGGTGGCCTCGTCGAGGCCGGGCTCGCGGAAAAGCCCTTGTTTCCCAGACCTTCGGATGATTCGGATGAATTGAAACAAGGTTTAATAATCAAAAGGCCGAAACATTCTTGAACGACTGAGCATGCGCGAAGGGACGCTTCAATCTCCAGGCTGAGACCTATGTGTGTAAGGGAAGATGAGGCACGTGAACTTCGTAGTCTTCGCCGGGGGGATTTGTCCAGAACAGTGGGGCATGCAGCCAAGGCTCGCATAGTCGGAGCGGCCGTGAACATCATCTCTGCTTGGCAAGGCTCTACAAGGACTCTACAGGATACAGAGACTGATGTCTGGCTGGTGCTTGAGTGAGACGAAGCGGCGGATGAACATCACCTAAGACGGGAAACGCTCGTCGTCGAGGTGGACTTGGAGGCAAAAGGAGCTCAGAGGTTTGGGAACCATCCTTCCTTGAAGCTTTGCTTTTGTCCTGACGCGGTCAACGGCTCTTGAAACCAACGCGAAACATCCTATTCAGTGTGTGGTTCGTGCCTCTTCTTTGGGCGACATGACCAACGAGAGCACACCCCGGCGGCAAACACTCCGTGCTTCAGCGCACAGCGAAAAAACCTATCAAAGCACTTGGTGCACAATCACCGCTTCCGAAACAATCGTCTTGAAAGCCACCGCCGGGCTGTGTGATAATCTTGCTGCTGGTTGCCTCCCCTCCGTGCTGATGGTTTGATCCAGCCGGCAGCTACATGTGCTACTGCGCGCAACACACTCTACTCATGCGGATGGGGTGATGCAACTTCATGCCGCATCTGTGCAGCTGATGCTAAAGCAGCATACAACTGATCCCAACTGCATCAAGCTAGCATGACCAATCGAAGCCAGCTGGGTTTGGTTTACCCATGACCGTACTGAATCTGAAACACCCGAGGCCAGCTGTTGGGATCTGGGATTGGTGCCTCGGCTTCACTCCGCTGTGCGCTTTCAAAGTGGCTGGCAAGCTTGCTGGTGAGCACTGGGGCATTCCTATGGTCGACCCTCTAGTTCAAGTATAAGTGTATCTGTGATCGGGGATGAGGGAGTCTCGGAATCTGGTTGTAATGCCAGTATTGAAGCCTCTTGTAGGGCCATGTACGGTTAATGCACTGCCACTACCAAGGTGCTTCCGCACAGCACCTGCCAGCAACAACCCAGGGCGACCGACACCATCCTCTCGCAGAGGTGCTTGTAGTAGGAAGGTCCTACCTACAACATCATACTGTTCTGCAAGGTTTGCTCCAAAACTGCTGCCCATCACAACCGCTATGGTTGTGAAGATTGATACAAGTGCCGGTCTTGCCTGTGACTTGCGACGGGCTGTTCCGTACCTGTTTCGTAACTTGACTGAGGGTTCGAGACGGTTCACCATTCGTTTGGACTTGCATCGTGCATCGCTCCGAAGGTGGGAGATTCCCATTGGGCCTTCATAGGTCTTCGAGGCTTCAATTGGCTTCAGGGTTTTCGGATTGTATGCCATGCTTTTCACGGTCTGAGATTGCTTGGGCTAGCACGAACTCTGCATTCCCTGGACCAGCCAAACGCGAGAGGCCTGTCGATGGCTGATGCCCTCGATGGGTTCCCCGTGGTCGGGCGTGTAGGTACTGGATAGCTTCAACTGCGCTTTTTCAGAAGAGGGTGATGAAACGCACGAGCATACTCCTGTACCCAAGCCCTAATAACAGTCCTCTAAGCCTACGCGGCGCGCCACTCCTGATTTTAGCCACCACAAACAACAACATTTTTCGAAGGGCCGAAGTCCTTAGGCTCGTTTAGCCGAAAAGCCCCATGCAGGGTGATGAATCAGGAGTGGTGTGCCAGTGGATATGGGCGAAAGCCGCCCATGAGCCTGAAGAAGCGATCCTGAACATCAACCATATTGGCGCAACCATACGGTTCTTATAGCCAGAGGCTGCAGGAGCTGCAGCCCCCATGGGCAGACGTTTCTTAGCTTCAGACTTCTCCCCTAGTTTCTGACCAGATCATTGGGTCTCACTCATCTCACTCTCATCGCCCGTATGCGGTTTTAGCCTGGGCCAAGTCTTGAGAGTCAGACTCAATGACTCACTTGGAAATACCTGCGTGGGTCTATTATTCTATGATTCTATCATCACCAGGCGAGGATGAGGATGTGTTCCCAACTACGAGTAAGCAAATCGAGCCAAGGCACTCGGGCAACTGCCTGCTTCTCCTTCTGTCGACGCTTCTTCTCCCCCGGAAGGCAAAGGTGGCAAAATGTGCAATTCACTCCGCATTGACAACCCTTGGTGTGATGGAAAGCACAAGGCTTGCATAGGCCGGTGCCATGGGAAGCAGAGCCTAGCGACGGGAGATCTCTGCTGGTCTCGGTGGCTGGTGTCCACATGTGCGAAGGCTGGTGCGGGACTGCCATGTATGGAGCGCACGCGTATGGTGCGCTCCCCTGCATGTGCAGCATGGGCTCAGGGGGCACGAACTCTGGTATTGGAAGCGCCTGATCTTGACACGCATCCGGTGCAACTGGCATCACTGGCTCTGGCATGGGAGTTTCTGCATGTGTCCACATGCCTGGGAGTGGGAAGCTGAGGTTCGGCTGGCTGGGTGGGGCAGCGGCACCGAGAGAAAGTGCGCTTTGCAACGGTCGCGTTGCGCTTCCCGGGGCATCCGACTGTCGCGGCGACAAGAAGTCATCGAAGGTTTGAGCAACTGGGGGAAAATCGAGAGGGAGCGTCAGCTCCGGGCAAATGGGTTCCACTGGATCTAGAGTGGACTTGGCCGGGAAAGCCTTGTCGTCACAAAGCTGGCTGACCCAAGCGGCCTCTGCCTCAAACCTCGGTTGCTCTCGGAATTACATTAAAACCCCGGACACAAGTGGTCAGAGCATGTTCCAAGCAATAGCCCCCTTAAACTTTCCTCGTAAACTACACGCAGCCGGTTCCTTTAACACCCTTTCCCCACTACTGTTGTGCCTTCCAAGAGGCAGGCAGGGAGCTTCGGCCCCCAAAAGGGCTTGGGCTCGGGTCGCTTCGGCTCCGGCACCGGCTCCTGGCCCTGGGAAGCTTTGCCTCGGTTTCGGTCAATAATATAATATGATGTAACATAATATACTATAATATATTATAGTAAAATGTAATAATGTCAAGATTGCAACTACCTTGGGAAAGCACGCCACGTTACAAGTAACACTCGGACTCTCAATGCCACGACCGTGTCCCGAAGACTTGTTGGCGCTGCCATTCGGCAACACCAACCGACCCCTTGTTGCGGCAGTGATAAGTAGGGCTCGTAGTATGGCTGCAGCCGGCAACGCGCTGCTGACAACTGCCGCTACCACTAGCAGCTAGCAGGAAGAAAATGATGCCTTTGTCATGGTGTTCAAGACTGAGATCTGCCCAGCAGCTGTGAGCTTCCGACAGAAGTGCTCGGAGAGCGTCCGGTGTCCTTCAGACGGTGCCGAAGTGAGCTTGAGCATTTTGACATGCCCTGGTTTGCGATTCCGATTCAGGGCAAGGCTCTGTTTGCAGCACCTAAAGCAACAGTAACAACGGTAGTGGTAGTGATTGGTTGCTGTACTAGTACTCGTGTAAAAGAAGCATGCAAGCCCGTCAGACATAACCTTTGCAATGCCACGACAGAAACGTGCACTAACCCCTGCGCATAGAATCTTTACACTGCCCGTAATACTGGAAACACTACCTCCATGTTGGTCCCAAAACAGACCGGCAACCAAAAAACCCAGACCCCGCACAAGCCCATGCATCCAACACATAACAACACAGTGGGCCAGCGAGGCTGTGTAAGCCGTTGTAAGCCAAATCCCTGAAGTTAACCCGAACCAATCCTAAACCCCTAAACACATGCCCGAGCCCCCCCAAGCTCTCAAGCCGAACCAAACATTTCAGCAAACAGGACGTTCGTAAGCGCATCTAGCAGAAACCCTGCTTAAGGAAAACCATCCCCTGAATACCCTTCAACCCAAACGTGTGAACGGATGATTCTCTAGTCTTCCCCGAGCTTTCCAGAACAGCATATCATTCTCGTCTGATCGGATTTGCACCGCTTTCCCGCCGGAAAGCGTCTTGTTCTCGTTTGACATGACCGGATCATTCTCAAGGCGTCGTGTCGTCTGATCGGAACATCCGGAGATTTTGCTTCATTTTTGCGCATACGCTGATCGCATGTATGATTGTTGAAATATGTTTCTTTTCATATCGACTAGCACTTTCCTGTATGTAGGGGCTCGGTGGTAGATAGCAAGGTCGAAGATAGATTTTGGCCTCCCACCTACTAGTAGCTAGGACAAGCCCGCATTGCAGGGTTCAGTCAGCAAATACAATAAAACTGGCGCGTTCGCAACAAAGATGGTTTTTTATGGATCTGTCCTGAGCTTCACTTGGTGGGTCGCCTTCCTCCGGGAACTTCTCGAGCGGAAGCTGCAAGGAGGCCATCCCGGGGACAGACTCGCATCCTACCCGCCCCAGAATCTACGAAGGAGCCCAAGAGAGCCGCAGAACGTTCAGACTTCCAGGGCTGCGCAAGCGTCTGAAGCAAAGCCGCGAGAAATCTACAACACCTGCAAGTAAGGGTTGCATGACAACCACAAACAAACAAATTCAGACTGCTTCTAGGACCAGGAACAGCTGGCGGAACAATAAATAGGAACGTCCAAGGCGAGCAGCCAAAATGGAATGGCAGTTGGAACCCCAAACAGACATGCTAAGACGAACAGCAAAAAGGAAATGGCAGTTGGAACACCAAACAGGAATGGCAAAGCCGAACAGCAAAAAGGAAATGGCAGTTGGAACACCAAAACAGAATGGCACACAGGACAGCTCGGAACGCCAAAATAATTAATAGGCATGTCATCAGTCTGTGCATCAAAAAATCTCATAAGGCCAGCCCAAAAGCCAGGACCCAAGTTCTCGAAGTTGAGCTCCACGCTCTCAAGCCCCGGCGATCTTTGCTCTCGTCTGTTCGTGAAGCAATGGGTGGAAGGGCATGACCCGAAAACAAGTCTGGACATTGGAGAGAGAAGAGCATGAAGCTTCCGACTTCAGAGTGCGCTTAGTTCTTGGGCCTTGGGCGTGATTGCTTCTTTCTACCCATGTCCTGACATGCAGTGTCCGGGATCCGAGCTACGAATCGATGATCGCCGGGCTGCTCCACTCGCGCAGGTGTCCCAACACCAGTGAAAGCTGTAATTAGGCAAATCCCTTAAGCTTACAGTCAGGACCAGGATCGGCCTCAGAAATGCTTATCCACATGTCGGAGATGG